TCCCCCAGGGAGGCGTCCAGGAGGCATCCGAAACAGATGCCCGAGCCTCCTCAGCTGGCTCCTTTCAACGTGGAGGAGCAGCGGCTCAACTCCGAGCTCCCCCCGCGTGACTGAGCTCCTCACCCTGTCTCTAAGGGAGCGCCCAGCCACCCTGCGGAGGAAACTCATTTCGGCCGCTTGTATCCGCGATCTCGTTCTTTCGGTCACTACCCAGATCTCATGACCATAGGTGAGGGTTGGAACGTAGATTGACCGGTAAATCGAGAGCTTTGCTGCCTTGCTCAGCTCTCTCTTCACCACCACAGTTCGGTACAGCGACCGCAACACTGCAGAAGCTGCACAACATATGTGAAATTTGTCATTCTTATTCTGGGTTACCAGCGTGACTCATACTCTATCCAATATATGGCTGGTTGGAGCAACAATAAATGGTACCGCTATGTTGATTTGAAACCTATTTGTCACAAACAAACATAATCCGCCAAAAACCACATTTTCCTTTATCATTTGAGAATGCAGTTTAGTCGTGCAGGAATTTTTAGGAGTCAAGGCTGCCACAATACATTAATATTTTTTTAAAAGATCTAATTTTTAGGAGGGTTTAGTTGTGAATAGACAAACCGCAAAAGTTATTTAGCAATTGGTTTGGTGCACTCCGAGTCGTAGATCATGAGGTGATGCAAAATGACAGAAATTCAAATGCAGAACTAGCTTTTAGTTAAAAGTGACCCATGGGTGCAGTGAGCTGATAGCTGAGTGGTTCCAGCACATACCTCATGGACTTAAAGTTCCTGGTCGGATGCCTGGCTGACCTTTGCTGCTTGAGATCTCATGGTGCAAGGAAGTAACACAAGTGCGCCAAGCCTACTGTACGACAAACTTGTACAACATGTACAAAGAAGAATATACTTGCAAGTATCTATGTGAGAGCACCTTTGAATGTCTTCGAGCGCCGCTCTTGGTTTCCCTGCAGAAAATATGTTTTAATTCTGCTCTTAACATCGTCTTCTGCTGGGTTTCTTTAGGACTTCCTCACAATGCCTCTGTCTGAGTGACTGAAGAACACGGCGCTCATTGTGCTTCACTCGGTCTCAGACAAGAGGAGCAGAAATCAATAGGAAGAACCTGTTTGCTTCCGTCTCCTTGGACAGACAAATTCTGCCGTATTGAACATTCTTATTTTCAAGAGACTGCGTTTTACAAACACCGGTCCGCACTTTATTTCTTCTGAAACAAATTACTCTGTTGCAGTCATGGCAGCTTGAGGCATTTGGCGGCCGAGAGGAGAGCAAACAATCTCAACTCGCCATCGTTTCTCCGTAAAGTTTGCTCAGCGAGGCTCAGCAATAAGGTGTGTTTACATAGCCAAAGTGGGCTGGGTAGCACCCGACAGAAGACCCACCTCGCCTGTGTTGATGTGTAATTTCTCCCCTGCTAGATGACTCAGTGTGCTGCTGCTTATCAGCCACAACAAGGAGAACCTAAATAAATAAATATCACAAGACTCTGCAGGAAAGCTCCACGGCTCTCACCGCAGGCAACAGCAATACCACGGGTCTGGCGGAAGGAAGGAAGGATGGAGATTGGGAGTTTGTTTTTTTTGGACTGGTGTCCCCGATACCTGGTTAAAAGTTGGATGGGTGAAGGAGGAGGGCAGGTTGAAGTGGTGAGCTGCTGCCCTTATTACCCGGCCTGGCAGAGGGACTGTTTGTTGACCGCTGTGCTGATAGGAGCGGGCAGGGTGACTCCCATTAGAGAGCGTTTTGATGGAACTTTGTACCTTACAGGAAAGAAAATTTGTTTTTCAAGCTTTCCAGCCGCATCTGAAGAAACCAACACAACATACCACCCATGAGTGCTTTTAAATGGTTACAGTAGCTGCTAGTGGCGCCAACCATGTCACCAAAGGGTCAAGAATAGCCTGAACAAAATGTAAAAGCAAGCCGTCCAGTTGCCAAGTTGCTGCAATCCTTTAGTCTGACGGACTAGCAGGCTGCAGTCTCCAGCCATGGAGCCATATCAGTAGCACGGTTGGTTAAATCTCTGAGCAGCTTCACATTCCAACTCGAGCTGATTTCCGTATGCCAAGCTCAGACAACAAGATCTGGACTGTGATTTTGCTTTTTCCAAACAAACTTTTAAGCACTGAGACAACAACCTCAGATTGTGGCGAGATTGCTGCTCGTGCCTATCATCAGTGTTTGCAAAGCAGCCAAAGACACACAGACTCACTCTGCTGACTGCCTTGGAGGCCTCAATGTTTTCTGGTGTGAAAAAAAAATACTTCTATAAAAACACTTAAAAAGTTTTGGGAACAAGGACCTTTTTTTTCATAACAGATCAATCATAAAGTGGCACAATGTTTAGTAAACCCCATAATAAACGCTCTGACCTCCTGAAATTCCTCCCTCATTGATGGCCTGCAGATTCAGGTTGTGTCTTGTCCAGTGTAGATACCAGTAACTTCAAAAAAAGATTAAAAAAAGACAACAGGAGAGGCTGGAGATGTCTTGTTCTTTGAGGGAGTCTTAAATAAGTGGACTGTTGTTTTGGGTGATGGTGACCTTGATGGTGATCAAAGTAACCTGATGATGACTTCTTGAAGTTCCGTGACTAATTGCTGCAAACACACAAATCAAGCTTTGTATTATTAGTAAAGAAGCAACAAGGTGTATTTTACCCCAAATCAACCTTTTCTAAACCATCCCTCCATCCATTATCTATACACCGCTTAATCCTCACTAGGGTCGTGGGGGGCTGGAGTCTATCCCAGCTGACTCAGGGTGAAGGCAGGGGACACCCTGGACAGGTCACCAGTCTATCACAGGGCCACACTTAGAGACAGACAACCAAGCACACTCACAGTCACACCTACGGACAATTTAGAATCACCAATTAACCTCAACATGTTTTTGGACTTGAACCCGGAGACAACCCACGCTGAAAGATCCCGGGTGTCCTCACTGGGACGCGAACTGGCGACCTTCTAGCTACGAGGCAACGGTGCAAACCACTGCTCCACCTTGCAGCCTTTCTTCTAAACTTAAGAAGTCATTTTGATGTCAAATTTAACCAAACTCCGACTGAAATTGCACGCAATCGCTAAGTGAATACATCTAAGTAAGTCTTTTCAGGAACAAGACTCAATTTTGCGTCCACTGACTGAGAATCCACTGACTTACACCAGCACCGACCCATCCATCAGCTCTACACGCTTTATCCTAGAATCAGTGGAGCCCATCCAGCTAGGACAAGAGGTAGCGCACACCCTAGACAGGTCACCAGTCCATCACAGGGGTAACATAGAGAGACAGCCAACAGTGCAGTCACACCTAAGTCCAATTCAGAACCACTAATTAGCCAAATAAAATTAACAAATTCATTCATGTGGGAGGAAAAAAAAGCCTTGCAAGAGCAGGGAGAACATGAAAACTCCTCACAGGAAGTGCTAACTACCACTACAGTGCTTTACTGCACCAACAAGTCTAAATGTGAACTTCTCTTCTTCTTTGTAAGCACAAAATTGTCGCTCTGCCACCATTAAACTGGGCGATAATGGCTTACTGAGCCTACCAGAAGGTGGAGTAAGTCCCCACTAGCCCATATGTGTGGGACAGATATGAGATTAATGGCCATTTAATAGCCTTAAACGGCTGTTTAGGCAGCTCTGGGACAAACAGCAGTGAGTGACAGCAAGTCAGACGTCAGATTTGAGCTTTATTTACTTCCAGCACTGCGTATAATAGGCTACAGAGGTAGAATTTTCAAAGCGCAGGCAGAGCGTCAACTCTTCCTGAGGATTCCCACCAACAGCAATCAGTTTCTGTGTGTGTGTGTGTGTGTGTGTGTGTTGTGGTTTTTATTTTATTTTGTCTCTTGCATGAGATTGCATGAGTTATTGATTTCACACATCAGGGAGTCAAAACTCATTCTTCATTCTGGGAAGATAGAAAACACCGAACGAGAGCTCATGTAGCATCAAGGTTATTGGATATTAGCATGTGCAAATCCGAGGAAAGGCATATTTAAACACTGTCACTCAAGCGCCGACCATCTGCAAGCCCCCTTCGGAGAGAGATCTGAGATTGGACGGAGCTCTCGGTTGTTTTTTTTTTTTTTTTTGAAGTAACCGCAAAGCTCCAGGCAGGAATAACAGAGACCTGACCTAAAAACAGCAGGGATGAGGGGCAGAGAGAGCCATTTCCCGGCAGCACACTGAGATAGTGATTTAACATTCGCAACAGTGGTTAGTCGGGCTCAGAGGGTTTCACGTCACCTTTTGCCTGGATCTGACAAAGCCGGCTTTTTAAATGATAATGATATTAGGAGCTGCGTCCGAGCAGAGCTTTATTGTGCACATCTATATCTGATCTTGGCAATTATGAATATGACCTCCCGACTCCCGGCCATCGCTCTGCACAACAGACCCGGTTATTAACCACGCTGATGATCCAGTCTCTCAGTCTGTGCAGTAAAGAGCGTGATTTGCTGCAGTGCAAACTATTGCTGTGTGCTGCCTGCTGTGAAGTTTGCTCGGCTTTCACTCAGTCTTTTCCTTCCAGCTGCCACCTGCTTGGATCTGCTTTTATAAACGAGGAGGGATTTCGCTGCTCCCTGCCTTATTCTCCCCCAAAAAAACACTGATAGGCCAACAGTTGCAAGTTATTTCATAAAAACCAAAGATAATATGTGATCTCAAAGGCTTTTTTGGCTTTTGCATATTTATAATTATCCAGCCAGGCTGTTCATTCTCCGCACGGGGAAAATCTCTCGTACAGTCTCCCTCTGCAAGCCGGTATACAAAGACAGTAAGCTGTCAGACTGTTTACGCTCAAGTCTTTTGGAAATTTTCCTGCCATGCAACTTTACCTTATCTCAAAGCCTGAGGTTACGGTTTGATGCTGTGACCTAATTTCTTACCCCCACAAAAATAAATAGATAAAAAATGTCCTTTTCGCTGAGCGCCACAAGTAAAAAGTTCTCTCCCTATCCCACCTCAGAACACGGAGCACCACCTGAGCTCTTCATCTTCAACGAGCTGTGCGCCCTGAAGGATGATTCGGGGCCGTGCAAGGCCATAAAGGACCGATTCTTCTTCAGCGTCGACACGGGACGCTGCCAGCTCTTTGAATACGGCGGCTGCGGGGGGAACGCCAACAACTTCGAGACCTTGGAGTCGTGTGAGGAAATGTGCGTCGTCTCCGGTGAGTCCGACCCTTCGGCTGACACCATTTAGAAAAAGACATGTTTCTAAAAACCAAAAAAAACTTGATTTACCAGTGAACACAGACCCCAACCAGGACCATTCATCACCAACACGTTACACAGGACAAGGATATATTGTAGTTTTGCGTTGTTATATTCTTGTCAGCAAATGATCGGTTTTGTTTTCAAGGACTTTTGTTCCTCATTAGGCTTTATTGCCACCTTGGGCATAAAATCCTATTACAAAGTCATTTTGTTGGTATGCTGCTAACATGGAACGTTGCCAGGACATTAATTCTGCCCGGTTTCGCTGAAGGCGTCTGGTTAATGTAAAAAGGTGCTTCTGAGAAAGGCAGTCAGTATTGTATTATTTATGGGTTACAACCACTGAACTGATGATGAATTAAAGTCGAGTTAATTGATCAGAGCTAACAATGGAGTGCTCAAATAGACTGAAAATGGATTTTAAACCTCCTGATTATGATGACATTTGATCCAACAGTTCAATTTAAAACAAAACAAAAGAAAAAGCTGCACAGCAACAGATGCTAAAAGTGTGTGTCCTTGAGAAAACTGTAGCCGTGGAATCACTTCACCAGCTTAAGTGACCTCAGAAGTGTAAAAGATGGAAGAGAGACCAATAGTATTTCACTTTATGTAGTATTTCATGACAATAACGGGACCACGCATCGTAAAGTGACACTTCCTGAAGCCTTTCTCAGTTACTGTTGCTCTTTAAATATGAGTGTCACACATATACAGTTTACAGTTACATTGTTGGCAGATTTAAAAGTTAAAATTTGTGGCAGGTTTTGCAAGACGCGGTCCTTTAATTAATCGAAGAAAAAGTCAGCTGTTGATTGTCACTGGCAGCTCTGATCAACCACTAAGAATCTAAAGGAAACTCTGTGTCCCGCCGAGGTTATTTTTATTATTTAATGTCTACAAACATGTTATTCCACCAAGACTGAGGTTACTGTTCATTAGTTCCCTGTTTTAAGTCAGAATTCAATCTGGAATACTATCTTTGTAGACGACATGAAGCAGCATTGTTCTTGTATTGCAGGCTGCAGCTAGTTACAGCCCAGAGTCACTACAACAAAGTTTATTAGCTACATTGGTCGACAAAGCAAATTCTATCATTTTAAATACAAAGGTTGTAAAATTGTGAGATGTCTTGATTTTTAGGGTCTATTCTTGATGCAGGACCAGTCACCCTGGAAACATAGAGAGCATCCACAGCTTTGTGTCTAGTGTTTCAAAAGGTATATTTCAACCTAAACCATGATTTGTTTTTTCCCTAAACTTAATAGTTTAAACCAAATAGTTTTGTAGCACAAACAAAAGCAAACAGTGGCTGAAAATGAAAGTAAAAATGTTGGAAAAAGGTGCATTTTATCCCAAATCATGATCTTTTCCTCCGATAACGAAAGCATTTTAGTGTCTAAACTTAACAAAATAGTTTTGTAGCACAAACAAAAGCAAACAGTGGCTGAAAATGAAAGTAAAAATGTTGGAAAAAGGTGCATTTTATCCCAAATCATGATCTTTTCCTCCGATAACGAAAGCATTTTAGTGTCTAAACTTAACAAAATAGTTTTGTAGCAAAAACAAAAGCAAACAGTGGCTGAAAATGAAAGTAAACAGTGAGTTTAAAGTGTTCAAAAAGGTGCATTTTAATCCAAATCACAATATTTTTCCTCACATAACGTAAGGATTTTCGCGCCTAAAATTAACAAAGTAGTTTTGCAGCATAAACCAAAGCCAGAAGTGACTGAAAGCAAAATTAAAAAGCGAGAGAAATGCCACAAAACAGAGCAACCATACTGGACTCCAACCCGAGACTCCTTAAAATGTGGACTTGTGTGCACTCTTTATGTGTAAAATGTGATAAACTCACAAGTCACCTGACAAAAACACGGACTCACACGGTCACCGCTTTGATTGTCAAATGAAGTTTACCTGAGTAAATGTGTTTAATGTAATTTCTGCCAACCAATGAGTCATTATGTTGTAGCAAAGAGCCACATTCTCACAGTGAGTCTTCTAAGAGGCCGGAAATCCCACAAAACCACCGCGTTGGGTTGTGTTACACAGAAATGAACAATTTGCAGAAAATATCTAATTACAGTTTTGCTGACAGATACTGTGATATGATTTGCAATATAATTTTTAGTTGTAATATTTAGTGCAGATAGATCTAAAACATGATGGACATGGTATGCTAATGCCAGTAAGTGTGTCTTAGAACTGATAAGCAGTTTTCTCTCTCGTCCTCTTTGAATACCAGGTGTTATTTTTACCTTTTTGAACATATTAGAAGACTCCAAGGCTTTACATCGTTGCATAGCTGAGAATTTAACTTTCAAGTGCTTTACACAAAGAGAACTTTAATTGCCAGAATGCCAAAGCACTGCATCATGAACGTAGGGGTACCAGGAATCTGCCCGTATCATGCAGTCACCCTGCACAAACCGGTGGTAATCGTGTTATTACAGGAATAGCTCGGGATGCAATTAAATTAGATAGAAGCTATCACCAGGAAACAACTGGATTAAGCACATAAACCGCAGCAAATATTACTCAGAGGGTATGAGGAGGAAATGAAGTGCACGTGGTCGCTGTGTGCGTAGTCACTGAGCGTATTTGTGCCGCTTGAATATTTTAAGAGGGGTGCGCATTCACGCCAAGATTTGCCGTAAAAGATGCTTTTTTTTTTAGCTCAATTAGAGGGAAATCAGAAATGCACCTAAAAATACTTTTGTCCCTCTGGATGGCGGGATGGGTGGGGAGAGCAGCCTCTGCATGGCAGCGTTCCCAGGTAAGCGCTGAGTTCAAAATGCAAATGAAAACTCCCAGATATTTATAACGGAGAGGCAGTTTATTTTCTCTCACGGCACCCGAAGAGATTGCATGTGATCTGCCTGCTGTGCATAGATGGGACTGCGACTGGAATATGCATCTGGAAATTACAGTTGGGCTGATGATGTATATGTAGTTTTTGATCCATTCTTTATTTTTTTACCATAAAGCTCAGCAGTTATTTTGCCTCAGCTGTCAGAGATTGTGAAATCGGCAAAGCAACATGCTCCTCTTTTCAGCTCTTTTTCTTTTTTTGTCAAATGGAAAGTTTTACTCGACCATCATCGCTGCTGTAGTGCTCTTCACCTTCATGCAGAATGCCACAAGTTCGAGCATGTTATGTAGCAGCTGTTTTTTTTCTCTCTGATGTGGCGTGACAGTAAAAAAAAAGCCCAATTACAACAGTAAATCCTGGATTACACACAACATTGAAATTTGATGTTTTATTACAACGCGGGAGCACCTGAGGATGACTAAGAGCAACCATCTAAATGCCAATCTGAACGTGTGAGAGAGAATACGACTACAAGATGGACTAAATAAAAGACATAACAGAACTACCTTCATTGATCTTCTCCCTAATCGATTGGCGGTAAAAGCGCAGTGAAACCTGCTAAGTGCAGCCTCTGTAGAGCAGCAGCGTGCCCTGTGTGCCGCCACACTGCACTTAGCTTTTGTTATGGGGGGACGTCAGTAGTATAGAAAGTGCATTACGCCCTCAAAATTATCGCTGTTGTCTAAATAAACCCAAGCAATGTTTCTTAAAGACTGCATCAGATTCAGTTGACGAGCGTAGGTGAAGACTGCATCTACTTTCAGCTCTCTGAGAGTCATTTCTTTGCTTGTGTCAGAAGCTCCTATTGCCAGCTTCAGCCAAAGTCAGTTGTATAAAAATACATATTATTTCCAGAGCACCTGTCAAATGTTACTTAGCTCTCACTTGTTAACCCTGAAAGCTCAGTGGACACACTTTGCAACTGAATTCACTTCCCTTCCCTCGTTGATTTTCTCTGTATAGAAGCATTTACTACAGCGAGGTTCAGCACATATCAAATGAAACGCTCTGACTTAACCTTTCCAGCGATGCTAGATGTGTGTGAGGATGCATCCGTGAGAGAAATAGCTTTGCATTTACATCAAATATATTCATAGTTACAACCTGTACAGAGCTGTGTGTCCTTCTCTAAACCCACTATGCTTATTTGAACTATTATAAGCTTGTCATTGCACAGATACGTTAAGCATTTGTTTGGTTTTGTACCTCTGCAAGTATGTTTAAGGTTAATTTTTTTCTTTTAGGCACTAACATTTTTATTTTTTTCAAATATTTCCAGCTTTCAGACAGTCTCCTCCACACAACCCCTGATCTCGCTGTACTAATTCTCTACTACTTCTGATGAAACACTCCCGTCTGTTTCCATTTCTTTAAACCAATCACAGTCGTTGTGGGCGGGGCTAAGGATGCAGCCTCCCTCAAAATAGCGACAAGTGGAATTGTCGTGGCGTACAGAGACGAGCACTGTGATTGAAATGGATAATCCACCTACAAAACAAACAAAAAACAGAGGCTGCTGTTCTGCAAGATCCAAATTCTCGACAAAGCTTGAAATTTTCAGTGTGGTGGGTTTGTGCCCGCAGGTTGTTGTTTCCCATTACGAGAAAAATGTTAACACGCAGCTGAATCCGATTACGCTATTACTAAAAGACGGCTTTGCTGCCGTGGTGGATACGCATTAGGATAACCGCATACGAAATATGTTGTTGGTGATATAAAGGCCAATATAAAAAAACATCTACAAGTGTCATCATATCAAGTGATGGAAGATCTGGATAGTGTGGCCCGTCCTTTGTTTATGCTGTTGTTTGTAATAGCAGCCATCATATATTGCAAAATGTGGAACTCCTAAGTGATGCATCGTCTTCGTCTATCATTAAACTGCTGCATTAAAAAGCAATAGAAGCTGCAACGATGAGACCTTTTCACATCTGTCAGTTCAGTTCATCCACAGTAAGATGATCTGCTCTGACCCAAATCAGAACCGCTTCAGGTGAGTGACGCAGCGCTAAAATACATCAACAAAAGGAAACTCAAGAACAGTAAAGGAACGCCTTCATCTCCGGCATGAGGGCCGCGTCC